TCCCCTACCAAATCGCTCCTGCTACCTGAGGATTTAGAAACAAGCTCAGTTAAGGATGGGGGACTCCAGCAGATCATCTTTTCTCATGAAGCCCCCAAATTTTAACGCATCTCCTGCACCTGGCCTAAATTTTAAGCCTGTGGAAACTCCAGCTGCTCCAAATTTTGCCATTGTGCTGATGCTTTTTAGTGTGACTAAAATTGTCACACCCTGCATCCATTTAATTGTGTTGAGCCAGGGTGGAGAAGCGCTCCTCCAGTTGTATCTCTGGAGGGTTTATTTGCATTCTTCTGGAACACTGGGTCCCTCAGCTAGGCATCCCACTTCTCAGAACTGAACCTCTTTTCTTCAGTGAGCCCTGAATGAACATAAGCTGCCGTTATGCCCTCCTCCCGTCTGAGATGTCATTTCTGCTTGCCTCCCAAATAAGGCAGTAGAGCCCGAGCAGCCTGGTGTGGAAATGAGAGAGCCTTCATGCTGGAAAATAAGAAGAATGAAGGATCACTGGCTGCGATTGAGAGCCTGATCTACAGAGAAACACAACTGGGGAAGGAAGGCTGGAAAGGGGGGAGGGCAAGCCCATGAGGTCCAAGCTGGGCAGAGGGAAGAAAAAGAAGTTAATGAAGGGAACTAGTCAAACCTTTATTTGGGGCAAAAAGAAATAAAAGTAGTGGAAAATAGGAGAGCAGGGGTAAGCCAACAAAGATACTGTTTGTTTTTTTTTAGATTTTATTTGTTTATTTTTAGAGAGGGAAGGGAGGGAGAAAGAGAGAGAGAGAGAAACATCAATGTGTGGTTGCTGGGGGCCGTGGCCTGCAACCCAGGCATGTGCCCTGACTGGGAATGGAAGATACTGTTTTTTATTAAATGTTTACAATAAAAATGAAGTTAATCCCACGGAGGGTCAGAGACAGAAGAAGGTCCTGGGAGATGGCCCCTTGAGGCCAACTTGCTGAGAATACAGATGAAAACTAAGGCCCAGAGAGGGGAAGAAGTCTGGCTCCTGCCAAAATACAGACAGCCATAGTACCTCTTCTTGCCACTTGTAGCTGCCTTCCTCTTTCCATATGGTTCTCTGAACACATCTTCTCCTGCGGCCACATTTCTCCCTCCCCCGCCCCACCATTCCTTCCTCCTTCCCTCCCTCTCTCTCTCCCTCTCCTCCTTTTCTTCCTCCCTCCCTCCTTTTCTCCCTTCCTTCCTCCCTCCCTCCCCCTCCCTCCCTCCCTCCCTCCCTCCTTCCCTCCCTCTTCCTTCCTTCCTTCCTTCCTCTCTCTCTCTCTTTCCAAAGAGGGAAACTTCCTAACAACACAAGGACTGACATTTTAAAGCAACTCCAGGAAATCCCAAAATTCTACATCTAAAGCAACGTGATTGGCAGCCCTCCAACACGCTGACAAAACCAGTATTGAAACAGGAACTAGCAGGCAACGAGGCACCCTCCAAGAACCAAGAATTCAAAAGAAAGAAGAAAATAACTCCTGAGGGGGCAATTTAAGTCTTACCACCACTTCTTGTGCTGTATATGTATGAGTGCATATGTGTGTTTGGTTTTGGAAAGTCTTTTTTTCAGAGCAATGAATCTGGGTCAATAATTTATTGATGAGCTTCAAAGAGTACAAGAGCATCCTAAAATTTGATGCAAATTCCATCATGAATATGTATTTTCTGGCACAAGGATCTATAACGTTTTTCATAAGACACCCAAGAGAGTCACGTCTCAACACAGATCAAGAACTTCTGGAATACAGGATCATCTTTAGAGTGGGTATTCCACCAGGAAATGCCACCACGCTTTCCTCTGTGTATCAAACCAGGTACAGAATCAAAGTGCCTTTAAAGGAACCACAGCAGGGAAACAAAATTGGTTTTAAAGACAGCAGTGGTCCTAGAAAGAAATGCGATGCCACCTTAAGACGTCACAATGGTCATTCCAGTCAGGTGTGGCAGCTCCCTTCCATTACATGGTCCTTAATGGGCCAGAAATAGAAGCTGCACATCCCAAACAAAGGTCATAGCTCCGCCAACCACAAATTTATCTTTAAAAAGTCTTGAACTTATTTAAGAGAAGAAAATTGTGTACAGTGTTTGTCAAAATGCAGCAGGTCCTTGAATAGCATCATTTTGTTCAATGTCCTTTTGTTATAACTCTAGTTAGAAAACAAAAATCAATTCCTGGCCAGGGTCTCCATCTGTGTGGAGCTGCACATTCTGTCCATGTCTATGTGGGTTTTCTCTGGGGGCTTCAGTCTCCTCCCATGTCCCAAAGATGTGCATGTGAGTTGAACTGGCGTGTCTAAATTGTCCCAGCGTGAGTGAGTGCGGGTTGTGTGAGTGTGCCCTGCAATGTAAGGGCATTCTGTCCATGGCTGGTACCCGCCTTACCCCCAGAGATGCCAGGATAGCCTCTGGGCCCCAGCAACCCTGAACTGGAATAGGAGGTAGCAGAAGAATTATCTTACTTGTTTCTACTAATCTTACATTTATAGAGCTCATATTTATTTTCACATTTAATATTGCAAGTGTTTTGGGTCTCTTTTGAATTTTGAGGTTTTTGTGACCAGGAATATGCTATAGGAAAATAACTCTTGTTTATATCAATTAGCCTGCAGTAAAATTGGTTTTATTAAATATCATTTCACTTAAAGTCACAGAACTCATTGACAACAATAAGTAAGGACTTACTGTGTGCGACACAGATATTCCACCACAAAAGGGTTCTAGGATGAAGTAATTGGAGAGAATATCATCTTCCCTTTCATAGAATTATAATAAACAATGGTGTATGACAGTATCTGAGAAACCCGATCATAAGTAAATACACTTAATTTTTTTTTAAGTCAATATTTGCTGAATTTACTTGACCATGACATTAACATCCAGGGGAATGCACACTGGGAAGTGCTGATATGGTAAAATAGGGCCTGGGCTAGAAGACTGGAGGCTCGGATTCCAGTCCTAGCTCTGCTACCGATCGGATGTCTGACCTTTGGCCATTTGACTGCTCTGAAGGTGTAGAACTTAAAAGGCCTCCCCGATTCTTTCTGCGGCTATGAGCCATCCAATATGATCTCTGGTTTGGGTAATATCCTAAGACTCTGCTTTTAGGCATTTTCAGGCATTGTGCATATTTTCATCCAGGAGATAGTATGGTAGCTCCTACCCTTAATAAGCAATGGTCTCTTAAGAATCCTTTGGAAGGATAAGGTAAATGTCGAGGTACTAGAACAGCATGGAACCGACACTGCCAGGTTGGGGTGGCTTTACTCACTGTGATGAGTGCATGTAGTAGTCTCGAAGCTGTACACCTTTGTTAATACAGAGGCAGCTGGCTGGTGACCGACCATACACGTTTGATGGGGCTGTTTTTTTGGAAACTACACGACCTCTTTGAAGCCAGCAAGGTTTTGCCAAGTATAATCACATGGTCTTAAGAACAAGTGCCTTTTTTTTTTAAAGGACCAAAGTTATTCCCACAGGCATTATTATCCTTTGGGAGAATCCCCTATGTCAGAGAAAAAGAGTACTGACTCTAGCTTACTTTCAAAGGTGTTTGAGTCAGTAACAGCCCTGACAACAAGCTTTCCCAGGGTGTTCTAGAGGCCTGGGAACACTTTAAGTACCACCTGTGACGCTCTTAACTCTTGCACAATCAGTGGGGAAGTCACACAAGGTGATGCATGAAGATTACATTCACTTTCTGCATCCGAGGCACAGGAAGCTCTATAAAAATTTTGCAGGCATAACACAGGGAATATGTCATAAAATGCAGGGGCCCAGAGCTACAGGCAGCAAGGCCAGAGAGATGTTGGAACTTGTTCCACGGAAGGGTTGCCCCAGCCACCACTTTCGTGTCCGTATATCCAGGTGGGGCCACATGTCCAGGCAGGCTGTGCTGAGCGCAGCTTCTTATGTCCCATAAGGAATCTTTCAAAAACAAATCTATCCCGCCCTAGCTAGGTATCTCAGCTGGTTAGAGCATCGTCCCAATCCAGGGTGTTCAACCTTTTTTTGTCTCTGGGCCTCACTGGAAGAAGAAGAGTTGTCTTGGGCCACACATTAAATACGTTGCAACATGTAATCACAAAAAAAATCTCATAGTATTTTAAATAAATTTATGATTTTGTATTGGGCCACATTCATAGCCATCCTGAGCCGCATGCAGCCTGCAGGCCATGGGTTGGACACCCCTGTGGGATATACCAAGGTTGCGGGTTCAATCCCTGGTCAGGGCACATACAAGAATCAACCCATGAATGCATAAATAAATAGAACAACAAATTTCTCTTTCTCTCTCTCTCTTTCTCTCTCAAATCAATAAAGAAAAGATAAAAAATAAACCTATCCTATCACTCCTTTGTCCGTGAAATTTAAACAGTTTAGTAAAGCACATTTCCCCGGGGAGGGCAAACGGCCTGTGGTCACAGGCTGGGATCGGCAAACGGAGAACAGCACAGCTGCAGGGCAGAGCAGGGACGATCCCCGTGTCCTTCAGTGGAGGGTTCTCCAAGACCACACGAAGTACAGATCAGGGGGATCATGTGCCATTTATTCTCATGTTACAAGAAATAGGGAGCTGTAAGAATATTTATTCAGACTTGCTTATATTTGCATAAGGAGACCCTGAAAGGATATACAAGCAACTAATGTAACTTTTATAAGGGCAGTGAGGACACGAGGCATGCCGGGACTAGAAGAGAGGCAGACTTCTCAGCACACACCTGTTTATATTACTGTCATGTTTGAACCTTACTAAAAAGTAGAACAGCCTGGGCTCCAGAATCACCAAAACTGGGTTTGAATGCTGGCTCTTCTGTTCCCCAGTTTTGAGCTAGTTTCCTGCATCTTCTCTGACCCTCGGTGCCCTCACCTGTAACATCACCTGGATCAGTGCAGCACCTATTGCAGCGGGGCTGTGGTTCACAAATAATGTTTGTAAAGTACACTCAGCAGGATGTCCGACATATTATAAGCACCTAATTAATAAAAAAATATCTTGGTTGCTATTGATGTTATGTTTCTTTATTAAATTCTATGGCCCTTCGGGTTTGGATAAAACAACACCTCCCATGGGAAGGTTTTCCTGATCCAGGGCAGAGTCTGATATGCCCATCTGGTCTCCTGCTGGTCTTCGGGCTCAGCTCTTTGTGTTCCTCTTGGCTCCCCACTGGACTGTAGGTCCCTGAAAGGCAAGTAAATAAATAAGTAAATGTCCAATCCCTGCATCGGGCACAGTAAATGCTCATCAATAACATTTGGGGACAGAATAAAGGAAGAAATACAAGGTTGATTTTCTGCACAGGAGTTTGTCTGGAGCGTCAGGGGGATTTCACTTCCTGGTTTAGCCCAGCAGTTGCCTGCCTGTCGTTCGCTGGGGCTGCAGAGTTGCTCAGAGAATAAATGTCAACAATTGGGCTTCAGTGCTTGTGGTCAAAGCCTGGCTTTGCAGAGAACATGGCAAGTAGGGGGACTGTGGCGATTCAGGCCTCAGGAATGGCAGGAAGCTGGAGCTCTCCAGGGATCCCAGCCAAGCCAGAGCCCAGGCAGAACATGCAGAATAACATTCCAGCTGTCTGAGGAGCACCCTGGCCTGAGAGGCTGAGGCAGGATTGATATTTCTGCCTCGGGGGCCAGACTCAACAGCCCCTGAGCTGTTTGTGCTCTCACGGAGCCTGCCCCCCTGGGGGTGAGGACTGGCTCAGAGGAAGAGCTGACAGAAATGAAACCAGAGTGGTAAGGTGCTACACAGGAAGCTGCAGGTCTGGGTGCCAGAACAGAGCACAGGTATTTGGGTGACACACCACAAAAAAGCTGCCTGATTATCAGAACGCAGAACAGAACCCTGCCTATTTGCATGTGGGGGTTTCTTCTTTCAGGAGTCGAGTCAACAATAACTACTTTTGTCAGGCAGATGGGGGTCTAGTTTTGGCCTCTGAAATTAACCAGATGATTGAGTTTAGATAAGGGACCTCTCTGAGCCTTTTTTCTTCTTCTTCTTCTTTGTTTGGGAGCCTTTGGGAGGCTTAAGCAAAAAAAAAAATACTCAAGCATCTACATAATAAATGTTTCTTTCCTCCCTTCTTTATTCAGCACTGCTAAAGAGAAAGCTATAGGCCCAAACCTACATTTAATACCTAACCTAACTGTCATTTTAACCTGTCCTAGAACTACAATCTTATTCAATCAGTCTGGAATTTTCTGGTCAGGAACCCCTCAATCACCCCCATAAAAAGAAGAGGCAATCTGCATGATAAAACCCCTTGCCTCACCCCCTCCCCTCAAAAGAACACATCTTCATCTAAAAATAACCCTTTCTTTTTCTGTTCCTTGCTCCTTCTTCCCCCCCTTCCTTCCATAAACACCTTCCGCTTCACACAGCCCCTCAGAGCAGCCCTTCTGGCTGCTAAATGGGATGCTGCCCTGTTATGAATTGCTTCATAAAACCAACTGGATTTTCACATTTACTCAGTTGAATTTTGGTTTTTTAGCAGCAGTGTTGAAGGTGAGAGACAAGGTCTCAGGTTATAAGGTGAAATCTCCCTGAAATCACACCACACACAATATACATATACTGTACACACACACCACACACATATATCACACACCACATGCACATACCACACACGCATGCATGCTAAATTTAAAACATTTATGAATCAACAGCTCTAAACTTCACAGTCCTTCCATTGGCTGTTCCCTAAGTGGAAGCAGATTGTCCTCCCCCAACTGTTTCTGGGGCAGAGTTCCTCTAAATGTGGGTCTACTCACAATGATTTCCTTTCCTTTTCTCAATCACCAGTCATTCGACACCAGCATTACCTGGTGTTCCCTGAAGCTCTGTCCTTTTATTTATACATCCGGGAACTGAGGGCAGGTTGACACACATTCATAAAGACCACCAGTCACTGGGTGATCATCATGTGCCCAACACACTCCAGGGTGTCCGGTCCTCACCACGCCCAGCAAGATAGTCACTCCTAGTACCCCTCACACAGCGGATGAGGAGACAGAGGCTCAGAAAGATCAAAAACTCGCCTGAGGCCTTGCAGGCAGTGAGGGGCAGGATGTGAGCCCAAGTGACCTATCAGCCTGAGCGGCTTCCACTGCGGGCTGCAGCCTAGCAACACAAAATCTGACTCAAGCTCTCCTGGAGTTCCTAATCCACTGTCCTGAATACCACCCACACCGTTTCTCTCCCAAGTTTCTGCTTGGATTCCCCTCAGTCCAAGCTCCCTCTCCTCGCCTCTGCCCTCTTCCCACTTGGGAGCTGCAGGCTTTGCCCTCTTGGAGCCGTGCCCTGTGGGCAGGAGGCTGGAGGATTCTACTTCCTGCACCCCTGCCAGCATGACCAATGCAAACTTCTCACTGGAAAACACCAAGCCCTCTGGACAAAGACTCTGTGTGATGTTCTGATGGCTGCCTCACAGGTCTTCTGTGAAAAGACCCAGCTGCGGTAGCTGGGCTGCCAGGCCTGGGCCAGGCAGAGTTGATCAACAGCTTCTCCAGCCACAGAGCTCAGATGGGACGGGAGCCAGGTATTGCCTGCCTCAGTACCTAAACCCTCCCTGGCCTCAGCCAGAGCCCATTTCTGGGAAACCAGCAGGACAGCTGGATTTCCAGGAGCCGAGGCTGGGAGCTCCTATAAAACAGAATATAACTTTGAGGTTTCTGTCTAAAATGTTCTCTCTGCAGGCTGGCGTGAAAGGGTCCTTCCTACTATGGACAGTGGAGAATTGGATGTCTTGTTGTCTCTGTCAAGGTGAACTCAGCCCTGCTTCTGGTTTAATGGGACAAATGTTATTGAGTACCCCAGAACAGCCTGTACCGTTTTAAGGACTCAGAGTACAAAGATAAGCATAGGCCCTGCCTTTAAGGAGCTCATGGACTAGACGGTCAGGGATGATAAGACCCATAAAAATAAGTAGAGTATGCAATGAAAAGTGATAAGTGTACTAGAAGGGTTAGAGAAAAATACTGTGAATGTTGACAGAAGATAGAAGGTGATTCTGGGATGGGAGGGAAGTAAGGCTGTGACCAGCCCATGAAGGGTCTTGAACGATAGTTTGGACTTTATGGAGCCAGACTGTTGAAAGCCATCCAATGCTTCTGAAAGGGCAGTGGCCGGATCAGAGCCATGGGGCCTAGAACATTCTGCTAGTCCTTCACCACCTGGAGCAGCCAGACTGGAATTTCTAAAAGGGAAAAACTGAAGTTCCACCAGTTTTACAAGGGCTCTGTCCCCTAAATAAAGCGGTTCAGGGTTTGCACAAAATGTGCAGTGGTCAAAAGCTGTCCTTTGCTCCTGGTCCCGAGTGTTCCTAGCCCGACGCTCACCATCTCTCTCCTACATGTCCTCGTCCAGCCATCTCCCTGCATGAAGTCATGAGAATGAGGCACGTGGGGCAGGAGGCAGGTCTCCAGCTCAGGGAGATGGTCCTGGCTCAACAGAGTGCCTGGGAACCTTTGCTGACCTGCCAGCTTGCCTTGGCTCGGCTCACGGCCTTCTGGGAAGGAGTCGGCCTGTTGAAGAAAGGATGTCAGTAAGTTGTAGTTGGCTTAGGTTGCCCAAGCAGAGTGTGTGTGCGCGCACGCGTGCATCCTCGCTCAGGACTACGTGTTTTGCAGCTGATTTCAATCTGGGTCAGAACAGTGCAGCCCTCAGCACATCGCTATCTACAGAGGATAAGCTTGAACAATCCCCTCCAGGAGCCAGCAGCGATAAACTAGCCCTCCGAAAGTAAACACAGCTGTTTCCCATGCTCTGATTTCTAATGACCAAGAGGCCTGCTTCCTCCGCAGAAGAGATCCAGGTATCTGGTGGGTTTGGGTAAGCCTCCCAGGGGAAGGCTCTGCAGCTGGCCCGCTCTTCTGGTGAGAAACACCGAAGAGGCAGCAGTGCGTCCTGCCGCAGCCGAGCTTCTGCCACGTGGTTCATCAAAGACAGCAAGTGTGGGGCCACGTGTGACTGGGCCCTGCAGCTGAGAAAGGCACCTGGGTTTTAGTGCCTGTCCTGCCGCTCAGCTGCCGTGGGACCGAGTCCCCTTGTCTCACTGGCATCCATCTCCTACCTGTAAGGTGGGGCCAACACGTCCCTTGGTGTGAAAATCACGGAGAGCATCCTCCAAGACTTCTGAGGAATCAAAAGAAATGACTTCACCTGTCAGGCTGTTTCATTCTTTCCTCAGAGAAAAGCCCCTTAGAGCAGGGGTGTCAGACTCCTTTTCACCGGGGGCCACATCAGCCTTGTGGTTGCCTTAAAGGGCCGAAATAGCTTCAGGACTGCATAAATGTAACTACCGAATTTTTCAGATTGTAAGACACACCTAGTTTTTAGAGGAGAGAAATAGGAAAAAGTATTTTGAAGCAAAAAATGTGGTAAAATGTTTAATAACATAAATAAGATAGACTGCCAACGCCCCCCCGCCCCCACCGGCTCCACCCCCTCCCACACACACAGCAAGCCAGGTAAGCTACATTCTGAGTATAAGACGCACCCTCATTTTCCTCCCAAATGGGGGGGGGGGAGGGGGTGCGTCTTATAGTCAGAAAAATATGGTACTCCTTAACAGTTAAGGAGTTGAAATTACATTCGGCCCTTTGAAGGCAACCTCGAGGCCCATGTGGCCCCCGGTGAACATGAGCTTGACACCCCTGCCTTAGATCTTCTCTTGGAACCTGTGCTTCCTTAGCTGATACATAATGAGAATATGCTTGGTTGTCTGGCTTCCGGGCCTACCACAGATGACAAACAACTGATTAGCAGGGAGTTGGTCTTCTAGAGGTAGGCACACCGTGGCCTGACAGAAACACAAAAGGCAACCAAGAGAGCGAGGAAAGAGAAAGAAAGCCCTGGCTGGTATGGCTCAGGTGATTGGAACGTTTCCCCATAACCGAAAAGTTGCAGGTTCGATGCCCGATCAGGGCTCCTGCCTGGGTTGCAGGCTCTGTCCAGAGCCCAGGCGTGGGTGTGTATAATCCCCGCTCCAGGCATGTAGGGGAGGCAGCAGATTGATTCCTCTCTTTGGCATCGATGTTTCTCTCTCTTCCTTTCCCTCTCTCTCAAGGCAATGGAAAAAAAAATGTCCTCAGGCGAGGATGAGAGGAGACAGAGAGAGAGAAAGAGAGAGAGAAACTATGGTAGAAACAAGATCTTTAAAAGCAACACAAGCCATTTGGTACTAGGGCAAATATGCTTACATATGTCAATAGCTCCAATGGCCGTCCTGCCCAGCAGTCTAGTGTGATAAGTGACACTTACAAGGACTTTCCAGGGAAATTTCAAATGACAGTACTCCAAATCTACTGTTTAGTAAGGCAGGGCTTTACAGAATATTATTTTAGAAAAACTACTTTCCCAATGTTTCAAGTAAATAAAGCCTTGGTGCTTAAAGGGGGAAGTGTCCCAGTATCCTGAACATACAGACGTCAGAAAAGACACATATAGTCCACAGGTGCTCAGTGGGCACAGTCACACCTATTCTCTGCAAATCGGCGTTTTGCCCTGACCCAAGTCTCCAATTGAATACTAGGAATGCAGAAGCTACTACAAAGGTACAAGATACTATCCAAATTAGCCACTGGGATAGCGGTGGGGGGGAGGGGGGGCGGTAATCCCTTTGGTCTCAAATTATTTTTGAAGGCCGATTGTTTAGAATTATCCCAACAGATACGAGTGTTGATGGGTTGGCTTAGGACCTAAATTTGCTTTGCCTTTAGTCGCGTTTCCATTGTTACCTTTTCCCAACAGCTTGGCATGCCCACCGCGGGCGGAGGGGTGGGGGGAGACGGGGAGCCAGCAAATATAATCTCTGACCAGAAGAAATGTCCTTTTCAAGGAGTGGAGCTGTAGTCTTCATGTCTATGTGAATTCTGTGGCCTCGTAGAGAAATTTAACCTGTTGAACCACACACTTCTGCAGCTGGTCAGGCCCTGTGCTAGGCACATGGGAGGGAGGGGCCCCCAAGAAGCATGGGGCTGCTTTCAAGAAGCTTACAGACTATTTACTTTTCAAGGAGAGGGCATAGGTCACACATGAAGTATGAGGTAAATAGCACTATTGCCAATACTGTTATGTTTAAATATGTTCCAGTGCACAAATAATACTCATTTATGAAGAAAAACAAGAAAATGCTGATGAGAAGAGAGAAATTAAAAGCATTTGTAATTCTATTACACAGGAATAACCAATATTAACATTTATATTAATAACCAGTATTAACAACTTGTACAATTATTCATGTAAATGAGTATGTCGATAGGATCACACCGCACACTGGCCTTTGTTACTCAGAAAATTACGGGTTCCTTAATACACTCAGAGTGATGAGAGAAGAAAACCTCAGAAACACACCGTCTATTGTGAGAACATAAATTCCTCATCTCCTCCAAGTACAAATTCTTGAGATACGAAAGATATGAGCGTAAATAAGTGAAGCCACGAAAGTATAAGAAAACAGGGTCAGCTACTTATGTAACATCAGGATGCGAAAGATTTCTTAAGCAAGACAGGGGACCCGGAAGCCAGAAAGAAAAAAATAACGTATTTGAGTATGGAAACATTTAAAGTTCCTACATGATAAAAGACAGCATAAAGTTTAAAAGCAAACAGGCTTGGGCAAAACATTTGCCGACGGAGGATTAATACCCTAACATCAAACACAGACCTCTGGCACCTAGTGCATGCCCCCAGCACCCTGCACCCAGCCCAAGGTGCCTCAAAACACAGTGTCCTTTCTTTCTGCCAACAGATGTCCACGCTTAATGTACAAAAAAAAAAAAAAAAAAAAAAAAGCCTGCAAACAGGAACAGCTCAAACCGCCAAGCAGAAAAATAGGCAAGGAATATAAACAAAGAATTCATGCAAGAAAGGCAGATGGCCAATAAATATAAAAAGATGTTCCACTTCCCTGTTGTCAGGGAAAAGCAGAAACTTAAAAACTGGCAGATGCCCGTGCTTACCAGGATGTGTAGACATGCATGCTCTCCTACACTGTGAGTGCAAGTGTTAATTAGCGCCACTTGGGGAGGAGGGTGACTCGGTAGGATCTAAAGTGTGTACCTTGAACGTATGTACTTTTTATCCAACAGTCCCACTCCCGGGATTTTCTCCTACAGGAGTAACAACATAGATTTATAAACAGGCATGTCCGTGGCAGCAAGGCCTGTAATAGAAAACATTTGCACTAAGCTAAATCCCCGTCAGTGGGCTGCAGTAGTTACCTCATACCCGTATTGGGGAATACATGCAGCTGGTCAAGAAGAGTAATATTTTATATGTGTGGGCTTCAAATACTGTATGTGATAGGTTGCTGAACAGAAATAAATCGAGTTGTAGACCAATACATGCAATAAAATCTGGGTTGTAAACATATGCGTATGTGTCCACGCACAGCTATCAGTGTCAGTATAAACCTGGGGAAAAGTATGAAAGTATTTGAACCAAAGCATTAATACTGTGTGTATAGGGAAGAGAATTTGGTTGGTCAAAGAAGAGGACTTTTCTTTTTACATATCTTTTAAACAGGTGCAAGTATTATCTTCTCTACACACATAGAGTTGTCCCTTGCCAAGGTCAAACGACAGAGGTGCTACTGAGTGGTGGCACCGGGACTCCAGCAGGTTCCGACGGCCTGAAGGCCCACGTTCTTTCCATGCTGCCAGGCTGCTCCCGGGTGTAGGGGTTCACAGAATAGCTTACAGGATTCTACCTTCTCTTTCCAGGCAGACAGAATTAAGTCTACGACTAGCCTGGGAGCCATTTCTTGGGTGGTGTCTGGCAGCATGGGGCAAATGGTGAGCTTCAGGGAGATCTTGGGAAGGTGCTCTGTTTCTGACCTTTGCCCCAGTTCCTAGAGCCTCAGAATGCCATAGGGAGGTCCAGGGGTTGATCACTGAAGCACGTAGATGGCCTATCTGGGATGGCTTTCTCTTGGAGAACAGTTTATAAGAGCAGGTTCTGTTACCTGCCAAGCCGAACACAAAGTATGGACCAGGCAGTCAACTATTGCTGCCTGGGGCCAAAGGTCATGGCTTCAGCTGCCTAGGACACTTCAGTCCCCCGCCCTGTGAACTCCTGTGGAAGCTGCAGCCATAAGGAAAGGCAAATTTGCGAGTCTGTGAACCGCTCAGCCTCCCCAGGGGATGACCCCTGTGTCCCTGCAGAGAATGTAAAAGGCTCTTAGCACAGGCAGCCTTGCTCGTCTCCTTGTTTTTCATCTCCAGGTGCTGCTTTTGGCCAGCTCTCTGGCTTTTTGCCTGAACCAATATACAGAGCAACCCTATCTTGGTTGACCTTCCTGCACTTGGCTTCTCCCCTGCTGGTCTCATGGTGCTCACCTGATCGTGCTTTCCTTACACACCCTCCTGGAACTTCTCAGAGCACTCTGGGCAGCTGTGCCCTGGCCAAGGTGACCCACTGAGGAGCTGACACATTTAAAACTCCGGTTGTTGGGTATCACTTTGACTCATCATCCTGTTGACATGCTCACGGAGGCTGGTGAATTTCCAATGGCCTGACCCTGGACTGTAAGCTCCCTGTGGGCAGTGACCATGGCAGATTTGTCTACCAATTATACACTGAGAACCTAGTCCCTAGGAGGCTCCCATTCAAACCTGTCGACTGAATGAATACTGGGTGAAACCACTTAAACTCCCCTCTCCCCGGCCCCATATGACAGCTCAAGGCATTCCAACGCAGCAGATAATCCACTTGAGCAGGGGTCTGCAAACTCTTTCTGTAAATACGTTAGGCTTTGCAGGCAAGAGGCAAAATAGAGGCTATCATCACATAGGCACTTAAAAAGCAAAAAAATAAAACAACACTTATGAATTATTATGAATGAAATTCAAAATATAATTACAATAAAGTATAGTTTTTTAAAAATTAATAGAGTTCTCCTAATTAGAAGAATAAAATTCTTTTCTGAGGAATGACATTTGGCTTAATGAGGTTCAATGTCAGTACCCTCTATCATCAAAATCTTTTGCAAAATGGCCATCTGTTAATGCGGATCTGTAATGAGGTTTTATGTAGTCCATCTTTGAAAATGAAAGTTGAATTTCATATAATTCTCACATATCATAAAATGTTATTCTTTTAATTTTTTTTTCCACAGGCAGTAGAAAAATAAGCAGGGGGCTGGCTTTGGCTTCAGGCTGTAAGTGATCATTCCTGCACTTGCAGATAACACAGAGGAAGAGAGATACTCACATTCTCTCTCCTTTCACAGCCCTCCAGATCCTACACTTTCTAAACCTCGGGGTTTCCAGAACA